GATAAAGATCGGGCTCAGATATCGACGAGGATAAATACTATCAATTCATTATAAATTTCCAACTTTAATTCTATTTATTTAGATCGAGACGATCATATCCATATCCGTTGGGATAACATATTGCCAGGCATGAAATCACAGTTCGATAAGATCTCAGCGGCACTGCAGGTACGGTAGCTCAACTCTCTTTTCCTCGAATAACCGCGCAGCTCTTGCCAGGGTATACATCGTTGGGAGATTCCCATTGGGGGTCGTAGTTGGTCAGTGGGCGTTTTTTTATTGACTATGAGAACAATTTTTCTGAGTTGTGACAACTTGACCCTCCTTCTTCCCCTTCGCCGCCAATTTTTGAAAAAAGCTGGAAAATACTCTAGGAATATTAGAAAAGTTGGTAGGGAGTTGGGAGACTTCCGGATGGTTGTGGGAGGAGAAAAGGGGAATCGCACTGAAAGGGGAAAATTTGAAAGAATTGAGGAAATGAATTGAGGAAATGAGGAATAATTTCGGTTTTTGATTGCAAGAAGGTGTTTCCTAATAAGCATTCACTTCCTCTATATACATTTGAGACAGTTGTCCACAGAGCTATTCCGTTTAGGACACCCAAGGCGAAAAATACGACTATCGATCGATAATGCATTACGATTCGACGGCATTTTCTCGTAATGGGAAGAATACCATTGAAACTGTGGTGGATGGATTCACGGACGTTATAGGGAGTTCTGTCGATCTGTCAGAACTCGATATAATCAAGGTTTGTCTTCAAAATAATCTGTGGAGCAGCGGCTGTTGACGATACTGGAAACGAATAACTCGTGGGATCAGTCCCAGCAGTTACCAGTTGCTTTCTATCTTCCGATGATTGGGGTTATACCAGCCGAAAAGCATGAAAATTCTCATTATGATATGCTAATGAGCTTTGCAATTCATACACATCCGAACGTATCCAAATATGCCTGCATCCCGGAAGAAATGCTAACTGCATGGCGCATTCTGGGAAAACTAATCGATAACTGCTCCACCGTTTCAATCGATAATATGGAAGAACACTGATCCATAAGTGGCTCATTCCAAATATGTCGGCGAGGAACCGGTCCACTCCAAGGCACTGTTTTTGGGTGTCCGACTATCCGCTCACTTTCTGTCGATGTGTGTGTGCTCGCGCCACTGAACCTTGGGTAAACAGAAGGCGCGGGTTTTCAAAGGAACGCCCGAGGAATTATGCTGTTCTGAAAGAGGGATTTTCAATAGATCCAACGGGTGATAGGTGGAAATAAATGGAACGCAAAGCTCAATATAGTTTGAGGGGAAGAAATATAGAAATTTTAACAGTTTTCCGAAATTTCCCCGTTTCAAGGGGTGTATATGAGCAGACAATTGGGCAAATCTGTTTCTATTTTCCGCCATCTTCCGCCAGGGCACATCGTGATTGGGGAATCCCCAATAAGGGGGAGGGGGGGTCGTATTTGGGCTGGGAAAATTTATTTTGATAGTTGATTTTTCTCGCTTCACGGACGTTGTAAAGGGGGGGGTCGTACTTGGTCATTGTTGGGAGGGGGGAGGGTCGTATTTACGTTTTGGCGTTGTAGTAGTCACGCCTACCTCATATGACGGATATCTAGTGTACTCTGTGCTCGCGGAGAAAACTATCCTGTGCTGTAGAAAGAGTTCAATCTCCGATCGTAGATGTGTGAGGAATTCACAGCGTACACTGCTCCCGTTGACATTTCTAGCTCAGTGTACAGGGCAGTTCTTGATGTTGGGATGAATTTTCGCAAAACACGACCCCCCCCTCGACCTCTTTCTCTGGCTGGTATAACCCCGTTCCCCATCCTAACTACCATCGTACTAATTTTTCACGATCTAATG